ATATATATATATATATATATATATATATATATATAACTAGATTCATCAATAAATGTGTCCTCTAATAATACTTATTTTCCGAAACACACTAGTGATTGCATAACGATAAAATAAACTTTGAAAATTAATGCTGACAGGATATACGAACGGCAAGAAAATCATAGAAAACAATAACTATGTGATAGGAAGCTGTGGAGAACCATGATCTTCCACGTCCTGAAGGAACTGGAAATGTGTGAGTGGATGGCAGATTGTGGATTGGGAAGAATGGCAAATGGACGAACTTTCCTATGAGCTAAAAAGAATAGGAGTGTGTGGAGAGCCATGATCGCACACGTCATCTCTTGCTTTCTATTAGGTTGGTGCAAAAATAATGATAATTATTTTTGCACAAACCTAATATTAATATAAAATAGATAAAATTTAAGATCATATTTGCCGGCTGTGATCTTATTCATATTATTTACATGCTGACGAATATCCTCATCTTTATTGTTATTATCAGAACGTTTCGTCCGTCGTGCCTTCAATTATTCTAAAGTTTCTTGTTGAATTTCGAACTGATGTTATTTAATCTTTGTGATCTTACTAGTAGTGGGTGACATCTGTCGTTTATAGCCGTATTATAAATGCCTGCTCACAAAACCACAAAATTTTAGCCCACCCAGATTTTAATGTCGCCTAAAAGATAAGCACTTTCCTGCACAAACAGGATAGGGGAGAGAAAGAAAGCTATCAACGTATGCCTTTCATCTAAAACCTCTGTAGGCAGCGACTAAAAAGGGGACATTATGATATCACTATACTGTTGAAACTTTCGTCAACACCTGTGTACCGGAAGTAATAAATTGCATAACCTGTGTTTGATGACGTTTTTCACAAGGTGTTAAAAAAAACTTAACTTCTCTGAAGTACTTTTAAAGCATAACCTAAATAAATATTTCTTCTCCAAATTATAACTATCTAATAGCAAGAACCGTGTTTAAATCTTACTTCTAGATTCTATATGCCCTGCGCTATCTCCACAGCTTCCCATCCCTTGTAATTCTTAAAAAAACGTTTGTGTTTTTGCTATCGCTCCTAGCCCTAGTTCCGCTATCAATTCTCGAGGAGTCAACCAATAGAAGACAACCATCCTAATTTCCCCACCTAGGACAATGAGGGGGCTATGCTGATGACGTTAGTGGTCATAGTTGCTTTAAGAATGATCTTGAACAGAAAATCAGAATTCTCTGTCAAGGGTTCTAAGAAATAGAACATTTCGAAACCAGAAACAATGATTTGGATTTGGAATGAAAGCAGTGATGACAACTACATTGAATCCATAATTAAAATGAAAACATCTTCTATCAAGCGTTCTAAGAAACGGGAATCAAGATAGACCTTTCCAAAGGAGAAGCTATGATCTGTAATTAGACTGGAAGCAGTGATGTCACATACCCTGAATCCATCATAAAACTTACAACATCCTATATAAAGTGTTCTAAGAAATAGGACTCAAAATAAACCTTTCCAAAAGAGAAGCTATGATCTGTAATTGGAATGAAGACAGTGATATCTCATACCCTGAATCCATCATAAAACGTAAAACATCCTATATAAAGTGTTCTAAGAAATCGGGCTTAACATAAACCTTTCCAAAAGAGAAGCTATGATCTGTAATTGGAATGAAGACAGTTTCCATCCATCATAAAATGAAAACATCCCCTATCAAGCGTTCTAGAAAATAGGGCTTAACATAAACCTTTCCAAAAGAGAAGCTATGATCTGTAATTGGAATGAAGACACTGATGTCAAATACCCTGAATCCATCATAAAAATGAAAACATCCTCAATCAAGCGTTCTAGAAAATAGGGCTCAACATAAACCTTTCCAAAAGAGAAGCTATGATCTGTAATTGGAATGAAGACAGTGATGTCATATACCCTGAATCCACCATAACTATTCAGGATTTGGAATTAGTAAATACTACACACTTCAGATCCATCGGCGTTTGGATCAGTCATAACCAATTAACTGATGTAGAAGAAGAAAAGGAATATAAAATAGGCGGTGCCAGATGTTGTTTTGCCCAACACCGCACTTGCTACGAAAGTAAAACATCAACCTGAAAACTCAAGTTATGTTCTAAAATAGCCTCACCAGATCAAGATAGATCGACGTTTATATGGATGTCATGAATAGCACCAAACGCGTTCAGAAATATCTAAAATGTCAGTTGTATAGCACCGCTTCCTGAGGTCAATGGGGAAGAAATAGTTTGAGTGAGTAAAGCCTGAGGGTCTTGACAATGATCATCTTTCTTTGAACATCGTGCATTGGCGCTACAGAATCACAAACAAAGAACAGTACCAACTAACAGAAACCACGTCACTTGAGGAATGCCAACAGCAGCAACAACTTAAATGGATAGCACATGTAAGTCAAAGAGAAATTAACGGCATAATCAAGATGTTGACATACCACACAACCCCAAACGAAAGTCCAGAAAGAAACCATCATCAATACTGGAAAGAACCATAAAGGCTACTGGATTTTAGAAAAAAAAAGGTGTTTTATTATTATTATTATTATTATTATTATTTAATCGGTATCACCCCAAGCAAAGCAGTAAAGCCACTGAAAGACCAGGAGATAAAGGTGTGGAAGAATTAGCAACGGAAACATTAATAATGAGCGAAAAGAGGAAAGCATAATCAGGGTAGAGTAGATAGCGATTGACATTGCATTTAAAATTACCACCAATACATTTTCTTAAACTGCCAACTTTTTATCATCAACAGACTATATATCTAAAAAAAAAAAACATACTTTTACGCTGAAAATATAAAACTATGTACAAAATATCTGTAGTTGAAGGCATAAAATTGAGTACAAATATTTAGATTTCGTCATTAATCAACCCATACATGTTGATATGCCACTGAAAAAAACAATGAAACCTATCTATCTATCTATCTATCTATCTATCTATCTGTCTGTCTGTCTCATTCTGTTAATATCTATCTATGCCATTCTGTTCATGTATTTTTTTAAATCGGTATCACCCCATGCCAGGCTTTAAATCTACTAAGACACAAAGGGGCTACTGAGTGTGGAAGAATTAGGAATAAAAACAGGATTAATGAGTGGGAAGAGAAAAGAGTAATCAGGAGGACAGTTGATAGCGATAGACATTGCGGTTAAATTTTTGCAGATTAAAATTGGCTGGAAAGTATGGAACCGGAAGGGAGAAAGGTTTTTATAAATTTCATGCCCAAAGTTTCTCTGTAAAGAAACGGTAAACATTACGATTACCATTCACAAAAATTTGTCAGGTCTGCGTTCCCGTTAACTTTTTACTTTCGATATTCCCTGTGAGTGACGAGAGAGATAATGGAAGGTAGGAAGTCACTTACCCGACGATCTTGAGTGAATGGATGGCAGAACAGTACCGGGAGGCTAAGCAAAGAGAGAGAGGGAGACAATGGAAAGGGCCATGCGATATAGGAAGTTGTGAAGAGTCATGGTCGCCCTACGACCTCAAGGGATACGATACAGAGTAGATGAAGAATTCTAGTCGAAAAAGAATCTACGCATTAAGAGCGTCAACAGTGGAAGAATGCCAGTAGGAATCCCAAAAGAAATGGTAACGTTCCAGTAACAAACTGATCGAGTAACAAAGTGATTAAATCTAGTAAAAAGACAGAAAGGGATAGATTTTTATTTTATAATAAATAGATTACAACTGACTGGTTCATGTAAATTAAGTCTTAAACGCATCAAGAATCTATAAATTTTCGCCTAACGTAATAATAATATTAAGGTTAAGGATGCAGGTTGGAGAAGGGGAGGCAAGTTAGAGTAATGGATAGCGACTCGGTTTGAGGAATCTGAGAGCCGAGTTCGAATTCCAGTCGGATTTACTTAGAAGATTCACACATTTCCCAAGGGTTTTAGCAAATACCCTTGAGAAAGGCATGAATCTTCTAAGTAAATGCAAGTGATAATTAGTTTCTGAACCCAGCCAAGACGCCTAGGCCTCATTTTAAAACAACAGACCTCCCTTCAACTGAACCTAGTTTAAACATGGTCATTAGTGTAATTATTCTATGTCATCCTGTTCAAAAAAGTCGGCTCATCTTGGTTGTTATACACAAAATGTTTCGGTCATTGTAAGACTTCGGCCTGTCTCATTCGGGAAACTTCTCAGAATATTGAACCGAACTGAATGCAAAGAGGAAGATTCGTTACTTTCCAAAGAGTATTATCAAATACTCTTGGTAAAGGTATGAATCTTCTTCTTTCCCGCAGCTATGGTAAAATAGCAGAACAGACTGGATTCTATAACCTTGGGTGACAACCGGTCTAGGAGAATGTAACTCTGAATACAAAACTGTATGTAGCCCTGGCTAAAGAAAGGATAATTAGCATTCGTTCGATGATCCCTATGACAGTCGAATGATGATGAATTTTTCCGAAAAGATAAAATCACAAGGATACTCCGTGTCTTGGCTTATTATCTTCGTAGTTATCTTTCGGTAGGATTCTTTAATTAAAACACTGACGCATGTTCATTTTGATCGGGAATTATTGCTTCATTTAAAATGAGACTTTGAACATGGAGGCAATCTATTTATTCAATGATGCAACACATTTCTTCAAAACGAACGCAATTACAAAATTGTTTAACCTGCCATATTTCCGCTGCTTCCGCTTAAGCAATTCCGGTTAGCAATTCATTTAGTGGCTTCGGCATATTTTTATTAGGGATAATCAAGTAATCATGCGTATGCATACATCGTAATACTAGACCACGTGTTTGCTTTCCTTCGGCCACGTGTTAAGCTAAAAATACTATGAGGCCTTCGGTCAAGAATCACTTTTGAATATATTCCCATTGTAGAATCAGTATGTCTATACGCACGGACTAATCACTGCTTTCTCTCCATCGAGGCCGAAAATGTTTTGTTATGTTCCTGTGTATACAATAAACCAGGTGAAAATGATAACTGGTGGCTTACGGCCAAATCAGGTTGAAACGCCGTTTTCCGTACAGTCACCGACGTTAAACAACATCGAGCCTGGTCAGTACTTAGATAGGTGACCCCTTGGGGATACCAGCTGCTGTAAGCTTTGATGTGCGGGTGGTGTAATGGATACTGGCTCGGAATTGTTAATCGCAGAGGAGAGTTCCAATTCCCGAGGAACAAACGAACAACCGAGATGAAGAGGAAGAGACTGGGGCCTATTAACTGATACGATTAACCACAAATCATGGAAAAATAAGAATAAACTAGCTCTGTAATTTCGGTTCAAGATTCTAAGAAGGTTTCCGAATGAGACAGAGAGCTAAAAATGGCAGACGTGTAACAATGACCGAAAAATTGTGTATATAACAACCAATAGTGACCGATTTTTTTTTAACAATGATGTACAATAATTATACCAGTGGCCCGTTCAGACTAGTTGCTGTTGAAGGAAGATCCGTTGTTTTTAAACGACACCTAGACCATTTGGCTGGGTTCGGAAACGAAGTTTCAGTTGAAAGATTCATACCTTGGGAAAGGTATAAATCTTCTAAGTGTATGCAATGGATCCGACTGGAATTCGAACTCGTGTCTTCGATTCCTCAAACCGATACGCTATCCATTGCTCCACTGTGCCACCCCTTCTATACGATGCCTCATTAACAGAATGACATGCAATAATTATACCATTGGCCATGTTCAAACTAGGTTCTGTTGAAGGAAGGTCTGTTTTAAACGAGGCATAGACGTCTTAGCTTGGTTCGGAAACTAAATATCGTGCTGACGACTGACTTCTCTCGCACCAGCTCCTCCACGCTGATTTTACCGATCTACTCGTGAACTCTTCCCAATCTGCTAAACTTAATACTATATTTGTGTTAAGTTTACTTAAAATATGCCTACAGTTGAACATTTGCCGATTCGGATATAAAGTAAATCTACATCTATCTTCTTGACTACTCTAAGTCGAGGGTAATAATACTTTTTTTTTTTTTGCTTCAATGGAAAGAGCAATTGTCTACAATTTTGGTTTTAATCTAAATTGGACCTATGTCAACAATCTCCTGATCTCTGTTGATATTTTAGATGCTAATTTAAACCGGATTTACGTGTACCATACTTCAAACGGTAGACATAGATATTTGCTGTATTTAAACATACAGCAAATATCTTATTTGCCTTCGCAGAAGACTCATTTTTTTTTAGTTTTAAATCTACCCTTCGTATTACGGATAGGAAACGTCCGAGTGCAGTACAGCTAAACTAGGGTGCCGAATATCCTTAAACCTTTGAGCCTTGGGTTCCTGAACAATCTTAACTCTTCTGACCGAGCTCCTAAGTCGAAATTCGCAAATAATTGTTATGTAATTTTCACGGTAGTTATAAAAATAGTTACAAGAGTTTACCCACCGTATAACCCGTGGCTAGGTATGAAGTCGTTTTTCTCTACCACCGGTAAAGCGATGGTCAGAGCTCAAAGCGTTAATCAGATAAGTATAAAATATTTTACTAGTAATAAAATATTGAAAATAAGTAAAATTATTTCATTAAATTGTGCTACTATCAAAAAAATATGTAAGGTAGTCCGTACTGTTTGTTGAAATATCAATTTATGTTAGAAAGCATTTAGTTTTTTGCCTGTTGTTTGTTATACAACCTTGGTAATATTCAGTGAAACAGTTTTCTTTTTCTGCATGAACTATAATTCCCTATAATAATTCATTCTCATTTAGTGTACTAATTGCTTTATACTAATTGCTTTATAGTAGTTTGCTTTGTTTATATGTACCAGCACAAATTACTACAAATTTACCACTATTCATTTTCTGCTTTAGCAAATTTCATTTGGTTTCCTGTGAAAGGCAAAGTTACAATTATAGGATTTCATACTTTATTCCAGTCTACTTTTGAAATATTGTATTTGCATGAACTAAATCATACATTTTCTCCTACGAAACCACATTAAAATGTATGTCAATGAGTATACGATGAAACATACTAATTTTTTCCGACGAAATATCCTTGGAAAAATGGCTGGGCATCTTATATGAGGCTGCGCGTTATGCAATGCACACACACACACACACACACACACACACACACACACACACACACACATATATATATATATATATATATATATATATATATATATATATATATATGTGTGTGTGTGTGTGTATATATATATATATATATATATATATCAAATTTGCGGTGCAGTTCAATTTATATTACAATGAATCATTCCTACAAAAAGTAGATTAGTAATGTTAATGATATAAAATGGCGAAATCCTTTCGCAAACAAAATTTTAAAGTTGCATTAACCTACAAACACCTCGATGAATGTTATGATCCTTGTTTTTATTAATTATTATCTGTATAAGGTCTTTTTTTTAATATACAAGTACTTTCAACTGTACATTCAGTCATCCTCAAGCATGGAAATTATTTTTTTTAGTAAAATCATGTGTTATTCTTAACGGATAAAAACTTTTGGAGCGTGCAGTCGCAACGCTAAGCTTGAATGTTTTGAAAATTTACGAGAGTGCGTTTTTTACTAATATATAAAGTACGGTATATACCTTCGGTCGCAAGTATAAACTCGATTCATGTGGACATTTCACTGATGAGTAAGTTGTACATATATCTCCTTATCTATTAATTCATTGTGATTTTTACTTATATTACTTATATTCAACTTTAATAACCGTACATTTCTTGATATATCATTGAATTAACAAACCAGCTTAAACTAATGTACTGAATTACTTAGTATAAGCTTTAGTATTTTGGAAACAGCATTTGTCTTGATAGACAAATGCTGTTTCCAAAATATGTCACTCATATAACACAGACTTATGTCGACTTTTTATCTCTAGCGTCAACCACACCTATATATTTCCTTTTTTAATTGTACAGATCGTGACATCTATCAAGGAGATGAAATTTAAATTTTTATTATTGCATTATTTCAAAATTATAACATATCAGCAGATAGCTGTTAATGCCAACAACTGAGCATAAATAGTTATTAATTTAAAAAAAATAGTAATTAATGTATAATATTATCCATAATTACATGTACAAGAACATTTTTTTATTAAAGTTAAAAAATAGGTATATTATCGTATATTATTGAAAAAATGCAAACTTGAATGCATGTTTGAGTCTTTTACTTGTGTGTATCTACGTTTTTGACTCCTACAAACCGCAGTATTTATTATCCGACATTTTGGCTCTGATGTAAACATTATTTTCAGTGGACACACGTTTTGGAGTTGTTATTCATTTTAATTTTATTGAACAATGGAATTAAAACCAAAAATCGAACTTGCATCCTTTTTTTCCCTCAAACAAACAATATTTTGAGCCAAAGTGTGTCTCTATCAGCTCGGGCACGAAGACCAGCCTTACAGAGCACGGGGAAATTACCTATTTAATGAAACATGTTTTTTCTCACTGGGGCTTATACGAATCAATATTTGCTAGATTACTGTTTCGTATCCGGAACGTAAATAACAGTAATTTTAGAAAGGATTTTTAACCCTGCCTTAGTCACATCAGATTTCCGAAAATGGATAGTCCTCTGGCGTCAGCCTCCTACGACAACTGAGCTATACTGCGCCACACCTCGTGCTACACACCCTCACTGAATCTGGGGAGTAGTGGGAGGGATAAAAAGAAAGTAGTTGCTAACGAGAAATTACGAGTACTTTAACAATTTTGTGGCTAACAACACACTGCATGTGAATATGTCAATTCAATTATAGGCTCTAGATTGCTATATAAATACATCTCTTACGCAAGTCAGCAAAGAGTAAATACGCGTACCACGTGATTAGACTCAACTTCCCGTTTCCAAGCGCACACGAAAGAGCTTTTAATCATTTATTTAAAAAAAAAAAAAAAATTTTGAATTTCTATCGATTAAGCAGTCCAGATTATGAATTTCAGGGGGGGATATATATTTAAAATATTAAATTTGTATTTTGTGAAATAAACTCATTTAAATTATTTGTCGGCTGTTAATTATATCGAAGCATTAATTTCGATAAATATTCTGTGTTCAGTTATTATAGCATGATATAAGAAAATGCCATAGCGTTTAAGACTTAGAATTTTAATTCATATTACTATAGATGAAACATTATAGATCAGGAATATCTTCTTTATTTAAACCTCGGATTTACGAAAATGGATAGTCTTCGGGTGTCTGCATCTTTGCGCCAAACCTCAATGAATCCGGAGAGTAGTGTGAGGGAGCAATAGAAACAAATTGCTAAGTAGAAATTATCAGTACTTTAACAATTTTGTGGGTAACAACACACTCCATGTGAATAAGGCAGCGTTAATATCATTCAATTATAGGGTCTAGATTGCTGTATAAATAAATTGACCTTCCTACGCAAGTAAGCAAAAAGTAAATGTTCATACCGCTTGATTGGAGCCAATTTCCTGTTACCAACCACATGCGAAACAACTCTTAATCATTTAAGCATTTAAGACTTAGAATTTTAATTTATTTTTCATATTACTATAGATGAAACAATACAGTTGAGGAATAGCTCCTTTTTTTTAAACCCTGCGTTACTCCTCTCGGATTTACGAAAATGGAAAATCCCCTAGCGTCTACTTCTTACGACAACTGAGCTATAACTGCGCCACACCTCGGGCTACACACACTCACTGAACCAGGAGAGTAGTGGGACGGATCAAAAGTAACAATTTGTCAACTAGTAATTGCGAATACCTTAACAATTTTGGTTTGGCTTAGTTTGGTTTGGTTTGGTTTGATTTGGTTTGGTTTGGTTTGATTTGGTTTGGTTTGGTTTGTTTTACGAAATGGGTTATTTAATGCCGACAAGATTTTTATTGCTGGTAATATTTTTTTTCAAAGATGTATTGTTGGTAATAATGTATTGCTGCTAATAATATTTTTACAAAGAATTTCTGCTATTAAAACCTATTTTTACACTTTATTAGTGTTTTGACCCCAGTTTTTTTTTTTTTTTGTTGGGGGTGGTTAACTATTTACCCATAGCTGGGATCTTAACAGGTGCTACCAAATGGGGTCAGGGTAGACCTGGGAACACCAGAAA